GTGTCGGAAAATGAATGCGTTATCGAGAGTTTTAAGAGGCTGTCAGACGTGGCATTGCAATATATTTCAGAAAGGCTGTCAAAATGAGAAATTTCAGAAAGCAGTTGGATAAGCAGTCACACATTGCATGCAAATTGTCTTTCGAAAGAGTTTTTATTTTGTTTCCGAAAGGCGAAATTTCATTTTGGCTGTTCACGCAGCGAATGAACTTCTGGCAATTTCTCTCCATACTAAAATGCAACCCTGAGCCGCTTTGCCGGTTGTTATCATAGAAGATTAATTTATTATTCATAATTAAACAATTAAATTCCAAAAAATAATTAATTAAAATCATTTCTTATATTTTACTTAAAATTTTGCGTTATTATTTCTCACAAACTCGCGATCAGTATCACACGACAACACTCGATTAGCTTGACAGCACTTGCAGCAGAAATAAAAATTGCTAGTACAGCACGAGCAAGCGCTGAAATATATTTTCGAAATCGGTTTTCGCTCTTTCAATTGCAGTCACATCATGCAACTTTTATTTCTGAAAATGATTTTCGTAATGTGACAGAAAGGTCTTTCTGGATGTTCTTACATCGAACTAAAATTTCTCTTTCTCAATTTGACAGCGAATAGCGTGGAAAAGTTGGGAATATTGCCACGTCTGACACGCTCTTTACATACCCGGCTAATCGAATCTATATGGCAACATGAATTGCCTTGAAAATCATAATCGTACTTTGCTCTCGCCAGCAACCAGATTACAAAGAGGAGGAATGTGATGTGAAAGTAAAGGGACACTTTGTACCCTACCAAAAATGTGACTAATCGGGGATGACTCGGGGATCAATTGCAAAGGAACATGCGACTATGTAGTTCGAATTTTGATTCTTTATATGGAATGAACAGTTCCCTTATGTTCGAGCATGTCCTATGAAGACACTCATTGTTCCCGTTTATACCCGAACGGCTATGAAAATAGTGTAATCGCTTTAAAAAAAAAAATTACTCTCTTCATGGCAATGCCACATATATAAGGCAGTAGTTAATTTTACCCACTGTTTTTTGGCCCTCCCTCTAGCGGAATTCGTTTTCTGAAAAATTAACAAAAAAAAGGCCCGCCTTTTGAGAAGTTAGAGGGTTAAAATGTTACCAAAAAATGTGTTTCCATTAGATCAGACGTGCCATTCCTGACGGGTCGGGGGCTAACAGATCTCTTATAATACCCGTGTGAAATTAGTTGCGACTAATTAATGCCCAAATATACGCCATGCAGACTAATCCCGAAAGACTGTTATTATATTAGACCCCGATGACAATGATTTGAAAAAACTAATAGAAAATTTCTATTATCCTTTTTTTAATAGGTAAAAATTAACCCACCAAGTTGTTGTGTATGTGCCATTCTCACCCATTTTTTTTTTTTAAGATAAATGTTTATTTGTTTGTTGTATGGAATTTTTAAATAATCACAAAACGAACGTAAATAAATTGTATGTACGTATTTTCCAAACAAATAAAGAAACACAAATGTTATTGTAGAAGAAAATGTTTATAGAAAATTTTAGTTGATAGAGAAGAAAATTTCGCACAAATTCGAACAAATGCAAAAATGAAACAAACAAAAAGTGAACCATTTTCCAATACGCATACAAAAACAACGAAACAAAACAAGACAAGAATGTTTTTTGGAACAAAAATATTTATTTTTCATTTACGATATCAATATCAATTTATTTATTAATATAATATAGATTTGCACAAACTAAATTATGCTTATAATCAACGGTTTAACAAGGATTAAAGAACTGTCACTAAATTTACACTTTCGGTTTAAGTAAGTAGGCAAGTTAGGTGATAATATTTGTTTATTATGACAATATTCAAGTGTTATGTATGTTTGCAAAAAAGTATTGCCAGAAGTGTGACAACTCAGGTATTACAAACTTTTCTAAAAATGTAAATCTAACCTTGGTTAACAGCTTACCTTTAAGCAAAGTTTACGGCGCCGAAAAGTGAATCAAATGAGACCTTTAATTGGTGAGTGTCTCATCAAAAGATGACAGTTCTATTTTGATTAAGCAGGGTTCACACGATCTGTACATTTGTACAGATTTGTACATTTTGGCAGTCACAGAATGGTGTTGTTGAGAAATTTTAGTTCAGCCCAATAAAAGCATTTCCAGACAAAAACACTCTGTAACTGCCAAAATGTAAAAATGTACAAACCGTGTGATCCCTGCTTAAGACACTCCTCAATTACTCAACCAACCACAAACAGTTGACCAAACAATGAATGAGGAATTTCTATAATCGAATTCAACCTTTTTTTTGTTTCTTAAAACGAAGTTTTATTTGCGGGCTTAAAACAAAGTAAGTAATTGCATGCAAAATCAGGGCTGTATGGACGATGGCCCATCAACTCAATATTCTCGCTGGTCAAGTAGGCGGTTTCTTGAGCCGATTTGCCAGATTTGGCATTTTTGAGGTGAAGAGTGTTTTGCTTCAAAATTTGCAGAGTACTTAACGCCTATTGGCAAGAGTTATTCGTCGCTTGATCTTCAGGCTGGATCCAAGATATACAAGTTCATTACTTCAGAGCTACATATACATACATAACTACCAACAGTGACGTGTGTTCCAATACGTGAAGACTATTTGAGTGTTGCTAGGAGGTACTTTGTTTGTCTTGTCCTCGTTTACCACAGACCAAACTCCCCTGCCTGATTCCTGGAAGCTGGACAATGCTGCACGGACGGTCCGTGCGTTGAGGCTCATGATATCAATATCAACTGCATCCACCAAGCGCATCATAATTTTGTTTTATTCAGATAGGCAGCTCGTACTTACTACGCTTTCCAACATCGGATTGAAGAAGTTGCCAGATATTCCCCTTTGTATTAAACTTCGTTTGGTCTTCTGCCAATTTCGACGAAGCTGGAGGTTGCGCTCAACGTCACTCTACATAGCCGCAATAGTTTCGAGGGGATCCCAAATTTAGACATGCTTTAAACAGCTTTAAAGTCGTCAAAGTTGGTGTGTGTCAAATTAATTATCAAACGATTTTTCCCCAGTATTTGACGCACTGTAAAAATGTGGTCTATGGTGGATTTTCTAGATCTGGAGCCACGCTGATAAGGCCCAAACAGTTGTTTCATAAGGGGGTTTTCACACAGCACCGTCCATACAAATCAGTGACTTAAAATTTATTAAAGGTTGACATAATTTATAAAATCATAAATTTGTATGGGCACTTTTTGTGCGTATTTTTACTTAAGTGATCATAACTTCTAGAATTGTTATACAATTTACATAAGTACGGTCTTAATAATAATAATAGATTGGCGCTTACACATATGTTACGTGTTTGACCGAGCCTCTCCTCCGACTTGTAGCGTGCGCCTTGATGTTGTCACACAAATCGGAGGGACCTACAGTTTTACGCCGACTCCGAACGGCGATTGTATTTTTATGAGAAGCTGTTTTTTTTTTTGATGGCAGAAATACACTCGGAGGTGTGCCATTGTCTGCGAGGGACAACCGCTGTTAAGAAAAAACCTTTTTTCTATATTTTTTGCGATGTTGCTTTGACCAGGGTTTGAACCCAGGCGTTGCGGAGTGGAAGCGCGCACTGCTTGCCACTACACCACAGCGGCCGACGTTGTTTTTTGCATACAAGTGCTGAGCACATTATATATCTAAAATATTAGGTTAACATAGAATCCTATGCGGGTATGAGAAGATAGTTTTAGACACATTAGCAAAGTTATGCGAAGCATTGTCATTTTGGTGTGAGGATAGGGCTTTATGTGTAAAATTCAACTTAGACGATGTAGCGAACAGAAGACGGCGCATTCCGCAAACCGCTACTTTGGTTTTGCCGATTACAGTTATCGATGTTCATAAATAACGCCTCAAAAACTTTAAATGCACTGAAATTCACCATACTTTCACTAAAATCACAGTTTTTTCACATTTTCTTCATTAATTTTTATTAAAAATCATATATTTTCACAATTTAAAGCAATTAAAACACGTTTCTTATCGAAAAATGGAATATTAAGATAATCGACTAATCTTACATTCCCTTTTATCCTCCTATTTGGCTTCGCTACTTTTTACCCACAAATGTCATCGCGCAATCGGGAATGCGCAATCTTCCCAGAAGATACATACTTAAGGTAGGCCTTCTTAGGTAAAGTCATTCTAAGAGGCCTACCCAAGAAGGGCTGAAAAAAGTGCTTCCTTGCATACCTTCTAGAAGAGATTATCCATTTAAAATTTAATTTTTTTTAAATTTATTCATTATTTATTTAGCATTAGAAATGAATTTCAATAAATATTTTAAGTTGCAATAAGCCAAATTTGATATAAACCTTAAGCAAATACTTCAAAGATGTATGATTTTTATAAATTAAAGAAGCAACTTCAAAACAACTCCTCCAAAAGGCCATCTGAAGTACGTCCTATAAAAGCCCTACTGGAAGGCCTTCCATGGGTAGCGAAAGAAGAAGCCCTTCACTTTGTGCCACTCCATACAAAAAAGAAAAGAGAAAGGAATGTAAAGTGGAAGGCCTCTCGATTTTCAGGAAGGCTTTTGGGAAGCGATTTTTACTCTTGAAATTATCTACTGAGTTGTATTCTATCATTCTTGTTTAACTTCCTATCAGTCACACTCTGCAATGCTTAAATGCACCAAAAGCTCATCTTGAATATTGTCTCTTTGGTTTGTGTCTCAAATATTAATATCATTCAAATTAACAAGAAAACTATGTATACCGGCGTAAAATCGGAGCGAGCAGAACCATTAGCCAATTTTGTTGATCATCGAGGATTTCACACCGAAATTTCGAATACTTTTCCAGAGCGCTTATAGTGAACACTTAACTGTCAGTGGGATAATTATTTGGATATTTTTTTTTTAATATTCATTCTAATTGCATGATGAGATATATATTACTTTATTAATTTATTGTTATCTAACATTTCGCTCAATTAAACACTTTTTGCAAAGTTTTAGGATATTTTTTATTCGATTATTGTGCAGTTACGATATGCAAGCAATATTAAATGTACTTTTAAATACATAAATCTATGTGTATGTATGTATATTGGTAGAGCAATGAAAGCTGCGTAATCCTTCCGACGGTTTTCAAAGTCAGCGCGCGTACGCTGTAGCTTGGCAAGAGGCATACAAGCTTATTAACACCAAACTTTTTTTTTATGCTCCTAATCCATTTGATATCCATTGTGGAATTGTGCAATAACAGTTTATAAATTTCCAGTGTAATCATTGCTGATATGTTTGCTGCCTGTGCTGATAGAACCGATCGAACAATTGGAATATTTTACAAACATTTCAGAGCCAAGAAGTGGCAATTTTTCCAAAACTTCAGCATCTCAACACAAGTGTTCATTCATTTATTTGTATGTAGTATAGTTTATACTACACAGCTCCCACTAAAAGCTCTCTTAGGAAGCTTCTTTCTACCAGCGTCATTTTCTTTGCAGCACAAAAATTATCCAGTTCAATACGAGCTTAAATACTGTAAGCATTACTCGGCACCAGTTATACGCCGTCTCTCGAAACACTTGCTTTTATGTAGTCTCTTTTTTTTTTGTTCTTCTAAACACTTATCTTTAACAATAGTATGTATGTACGTGTGTATATGCGCATATGAATTATGTATATATATTAATAATTTTTCATTTACTAATTTCCTTAGTTTAAGTAAGTATTATTTTTGATTTGATTTCATTTTAATTTTAAAATTATTTTGATTTTTTAGCTAGTTGACTCTGAGCTGAGGAGGTCAACTTGGATACGACACGCGTGAGAGCACGATTCTCCGCACGCAAACGCTCATTCTCAGTCTTAAGCTTCTGCAATAGCTGCAAATAACACAAAAACAAAAAAAACAACAACAAAAAAAGTGATGGAGAAAAAAAGAGAGAAGAACAAGACGTATAAGAGAGCATGGTAATTAACAAATTTCGTTTTCGTTTGATAATGAAAACATGAAATGTGGCGATGATTTAGGGCCAACAACATACAATATTTGTAAACAAATTTTTTGGATTTTGGATTCTTGTAAATGTAGTGGGCAAGTATGCAGCGGGAACAACACAAAGTTCATTCTGAGGTGAGCATGAAAATTATGAAAATATAAAATGTGAACGAACAATGGGAACAATATGAATGCGAGTAGAGTTGACAGTGAATGAGGTTCGTGAGGATTATTAAGTTCACGAGTGAGTAACGAAAGTACTTGATGAAAAAGCATATTTACAAGTGACTTCATTGTGACATGTATATGTAAGTGCATATGTTTGACAACTCTAAAAAAAAAGTAGCTATGATGACTTCATGAGCAAATGAAGGATTTTGAATGATGAAATGTAGATATAAAAAAAAAACGTAATGCTGTGTTTATGGTGGTATTGTACACGCAAAACAGAGGAGTTTACAAAAGGCCTAAAATGTCAAAAATAATCAATGTATGTATGTATGTACAAATGTATATTTGCAAGTGAGGATCAGTTGAAGATCTCGTGGAAAAGATAAAATACATAATTAACAAAAATTACACTGCCAGTTAAAGATACAAAACAAGTAACTTTTAAACAATAAAAGGAAACAACACACTTTATAAAAATTTAAACCAAATTAGTATGGGCCCATCCCTAAGGTGCCGCCAGTCCGATAAAAAAAAATATCCGGCAACATACATAAAAAAAAATTCCGATGTATTGATAACCTCCTCCTTTTTTGAAGGGTTAATAACTACAATCTAATTCGGGTATAAAAAACCTCTGTGATTTTCAAGATATTCAAATTCAATAACTGTCGATTTATCCGATTCCGGTTAAGAGTTTAATTTTACATAATGCCATATTTCCACTAGGCTTATGCCGAATTTCCACTAGGCATTATAATGACAAAAAATTTATGCCATTTAAAAAATGCCATGTGGAAACAGACATAATGACAAATTGTATGAACTTAATGGAACGGGTATTTAAAATGCCCAACATTGTCATTAAAAATGTTGTCACTTAATGTCTAGTGGAAATTCGGCATTACTGTGACAACAAAAATTAGTAGGTACATTTAAAAAGGCCATATGGAAACGAATTTAATTACTATTTTTAATAACGTAAAGAGACGGGAATTTCTGAATGCCAAACTTTGTCATTTAACGCCCGGTAGAAATCCGGCATACAAATTTCTGAATGAAATTGAATTTGCACGCAAACTGTGTAATTAATGACGTTGTTTAATTTGAAATTCATATGTCTAATACATAGGCATAAAAAAAAATAATATCGTATTTCCACTACGTGTTAAAAAAAAAATCTGGTGTGATGCTTTTGAAAAAGTCATTAAACTTGTTTCCACATGTAATTTTTTACGGTAGACAACTTATTTGCCTTTTCTGTAACTTAGGACCGTTTTTACAGTAACGAGTTAACTCTCATTCGGCAGTTAACTATAGGTTTTCAGTACAAAATTTGAAAGTTAACTGCCGAATTTGAGTTAACCCCCCACTGTGAAAACGGCATTTAGTGCCTAATGGGAATTCGGCATTATATGATTATAATTTTTTTCAAAAACAAAAACTCAGCTTGAAAATAGTCTAGACCCACAAATGATTATTCTAATTTTATTAGAAAGAGTATAAACAGACTGCTTGCTCTTTAAGCACAGCTTAAATTAATTTAAATTAGTTTTCTGTTTGGTTCGTAGTTGTTTCCTGGTGCAATCAGCTGATTTAAAAAATTTTTGGATGAAAGCATGAAATTCCGTATATATTTAACAGTGAGTGCGCACTATCACAAAATCTACAATCAAACCAAAACTGAATTTGGGTCTTTTAACCAAGTGCATTGAATAATTGTGATTTTTCAACCCATATTTATAAACAAAACGAGATATTAAAAAAAACAAACAATTTTCAGCAAAAGCAAAACATGAATAAATAAGAAAACTCTTATGCGGGATCTCCACTGGGCATTAATGACAATGTTGGCCATTAAAAAATCCCCGCGCCATTATGTTCATAAAAATTGCCATTTATGTCATTACAATGTCTAGTAAAAATTCGAAATTATGAGGGCATTAAATAGCGAAAATTTTAATGACAAAATAAAATGTTAATATTATTCGTCATTAAGTTTGTTTCCACATGTGATTAAATGGCGCAAACTCTCTCTTTTATTTCAGTGTCTAGTGGAAATCCCGTTTAGGTTTGTTTCCACATGGCATTAAATGGCAAATATTTTCTCTTTTTTCATTTCAGTGCCCGGTGGAAATTCGGCATTAGGTAAAAAAAAAAATCAATGGAGATGGGAGCAGCAATTTAAAAGCAAAATAAATAAACATCAAAAGCAGGGCAGGAGCTTTAACAAGAAAAAAATTAAGCATACGACGATAGTCAACAAATAAGCAAAACGGTGGCTTGGACCCTAATTTCACGAAACTCTAACTTTCTCTGCAAATATTTATCAATATTAAGTCCTCTGGCGAATTGATGTGAATCAGAGATGCTAAACAGACGAAACAAATAAAAAGCGATGGATGTCCAAAAAACCAAAATTGCGTCTTCGTTTATTTCGCGTGCAACCGATAAAGCGGTCCTTGTTGGGTGCGGGAGGACTTAACCTCAAATAATGAGAGGATCTTGTTAAGTTAACCTTTTCTTTATGAAACAAATGCAATTAACTGAGTACAGTGTACCGTTTTCAGAAAAATGTCCATAGCTTTAGACTTTTACGGGATAGAAAACTTACACAGTCCTGAGAAGTACAGTTAATAAAACGAGTAATTCTTGAAGATAAACAATCAGAAAGTAACTTGGATGCGTTGAAGCGGATGAATTTGCCATTTTTTGACACTCTTAACCTAAAATTGCCCAAAATCTTGACATGCTGGAGCATTTGCAAAACCAGATTCGTTTTCCGAGTATTTACATCTTCAAGAATAACCACTAGCCGTTCTTGAAACTAGAAATGGTGAAATTTCGCAGTCCTGTATTACTTTCACGACCTCTCAACATCGATTACACCGCGCGACAGAGAATTTTGCACTCGAAAATATCAATATAATCGCGAAACTAGGGGCCAACTATAGTAAAACTGCATATAGTAAAATAGCATTTCTAGTTTTTCTTTTGACCTCAGGACTCTTCTAAAAAGGCTTCGAAATTTCAAAAAAAAAATTAAAAAAATTAAACAAAATATTTTTTTTTGTTTTTTATTGAAAAATGTCTTTTTAAAACTTCATTCTTGAAAATAGTAATTTTCAGGGACCGTAGCTGTTATCTGTATGATAAAAATTATAATTTAATCGTTAAAATTCGATTTCTATTTTTCTGATAAAATTTAATCGTTGTTTTACGATTTTTATTCTTTCCATCGGTCATAAAAACACAGTTTCCACGGTTAAAATCGTCGAAAAAAATCCAAAATAACAATTAAATTTTACCGAAAAAATAAAAGTCCAAATTTAAAGTACATTTATGTGCTTGACAATTTAGGCGGTCGGCACATGTGAGGCTAAGCAACTTAAAGAATTACTTTTTAAAAAATTGGTCGACCACATGCTTTGCGAAATTAAAAAAAAATAATAAAAAATAAAAAAAAAAATAAAAAAAATTTAAAAAAATAAATAAATTAAAATAAAAAAAAACTTAAAAGTAAAAACAAAAACAAACAATAAAATAAAAAAGGCATACATAGTAGAAATCAAATGTTCCAAACATTTTGATGTGATAACTGCTAAGAAATCCTTATGATTTACCAAAAAATTACATCAGCATAAATCCAACTGAAAAAAAGTGTAATTGTGTGAATGCACTTAAAGCTTTTTACTTGGCTTTGGCAATAAATAAACCAGCAGCCTAGTTAATGCACTTTGCTGGGTGCACATACATACTTAGATTGTACATTTGTATGCAATAAAAAAAAACATTTAAATCAAAATAAATATGTACATACTTATTTAAGGTTTTTAGTAAAAAAAATTAGTATTCATTTTTGGTGTCTTTCATTATTCGGTTTAAGTGCGTGTACATAAGTGTGTGTCGGGGGGCTGTTAAGTCACAAGAGCAGTTAGGTGTATTAAACAACAATCAACAAACAAAATTTGTTTTTTTTTTTTTACTTTCGTGAAAGTGTGTGTGTGTGTGCGTGTGTGTGAGGGCGGGTGGATGCACTTTGTATGCAAGTGTGCATGTTTGCGTGTATTTTGGTGCTTGCAATATTATTTACCTTTAACTCTTCTTCCATTTCGGAAAGTTTGCGTTCCATTGCTCTCCTTTCGCGTTTTTCGAGCTCTGAGAGTGAGTTTTTAGTTGTCTGCAAAAATTAAATTTGCGAAATTTTGTTTCGATATTTTCATATTTTGTAGTTTTTTATTTTTTTTTATTTTTTTCAAATTTAGGGATTAACATTTTTTATGTAACATGTACAAATACACAGACATAAGTTGGATTAAGAGGCAGCAAGGAGCGTTTAGCGAAATTTATTCGTTTTATGATTTTATGTATGTACCTACGAGTAGTAAGTAGATGAGCGTGTGTGCGATTTTATATGCTTTCTGGCAGTTTAGAAAAAAAAAATAATAATGTTAGCAAGAGTGTATTCGGGTGGATTAAGAGAGCTATTGGGCAGATAGTAAGTAAGTAAAGAGCATGGTGCAGAGTATGTTAGATGTGAAAGCATAGAATTGTGATTAAAAAGCAGCTGTAATTTATGCAAATAACATTTCTATGTACAAATGTTAACAGAATTAGTTTTGGTGTTGTCTGTCGCTTAAGCGTTGCGTAGTCTGCGATCACTACGATCTCACTCTCTTTTTTTTTCTTTTGTGTTATGTTCTGTATCATACAAATGTTGCGGTAGAAAAATAAAGAGTATCTATCTATCTTAACAGCGATTGAAAGAACTCGCGCAAAAAAATTTTTTTTTTTTATTCGTATTTTTTGTTTTATTTTCGCAATTTCTGAAATGTTTATTTTTCTCTCAACTGTTTATTTTTAATGCTTTACATTATTTCTGACCTATGTGTGTTTCTTAGCATGTTTTGTGTTATTATTTATTTTGCTTCGGTCTGAATTTGTCTTTCGACAAATTTTATTAATTGCTTTTATTTTTTTTTTTTGTTAAGCGGAAAGTTGTAGATACATATTTGTATGTTCTTAGTATGTAGCAGCAGTTTATATTTGTTGTTGGCAGCGAGCAATGCACGTTTGGTATAATTTTTGAATTTTGATTTTTTCGACTTTTGGAATTGTATTTTGTTTCTTTCTTTCTTTATGTTTTCAGTTTTATGGATTTGTATATTCCATACCAGTTTACGCTTTTTAGGTTAGATACAAATAAAATAGATTTTATACTTACTGCGTTTGTAATTCTTTCGAGTGTTGCTCTACTTTGTACGATTTCTTCATCCTTCTTCTTTAATTGCTGTTTTAGTTTGTCGTTCTCCAATCTGAAATGGGGAAGGCGATATTTGTTGAAATCGATTTTAAGGCTCACAAAAAGTTAAATATGTGATACCTTAGTTATTGAACAAAAAAAAATATGTATATATCTGCTTTTTGGAGGTTTGAAGACACTACATTTGATAGTCGCCTAATCGTGCCTTAAAATCATTTTAAACATAAGCCCTATGCACACTAGCATAGTCATAGGATAAATTGCCAGAAAAGTAAAAAGAGGAACACTTTTCTAAAGACTGCAAATATCTGGGAGGTGACCTTGATGGCAAGCTTTCATGGCCAGGGCGAAATTGGGGTATCACACCTAAATTGGTAAGGTACCAGGACACCATCGCCAAACTCATTCCAAGATATGTTGCGCCAGTCTGCTGGATGAAGACAGAAGTTAGTACCACGCAGGCCAAGCTGAGCAAAAACACATCTGCGAGAACAATATGAAGGATATGAAGCTTATACACCGTTAGATTTCCAGGGAAACACTGCCCATTAGCTTTGTAGACCTTCGCCCTCCCGAGGTTTAACTTCCCACATAACTTCAAGGTCTTTTTACCAAACAGCACCAACAACTATATATACATATGTGCATACAGTGACAAAACAAATGACCACGTGTTTTTTTTTTTAATATTCGTAATATTTTTAAAGCAAATTTTTTTTTTGCTATTTTTATATAAAAATATCGTCTAAGCTTTAACCAAAACCGTGCAAATCTCAGTCTCAGACTTTATACAAAATTTAGGAAAATTCTACCAAATTTTCATCAAAATTTCAGCTTTTTTTTTCTTAGTCCTGATCAAAATGGCGGCCCACGGTTATTAAAAAAAATGCTTCCTGCTTAACCATCTCGATTTGGCAACAAAAACTTTATGCGTTTAAACAAAGGTCCGAAAATCTGACGAAGCCTCATCCTGGCAGTGACATGAGCTACTCCGCTCCCAAAGTCAACAAGCTTCAGCTTTGGTGAACAATTTAGCGATCGTCTTGTGGTCTGCGGGCCTTGAGCTTTGCATGACGGAGCACGGTCTGAAAATCGAGCTTCGTATGACCTTTGTGAGGGATCGAGCATAGTCATAATCAGTCAAAGTATTCTTCCTGGCCGTTTTAGCTGCTGAAGCTTTTTGGCCGAGTTCAACAATAGGAATTTGATATTTTACTCGGAAGCTAGACCTACCGCTCCCAATCTATAGCAGTTACTTATCTACTGTTCCAAGTTTTACAATATAAAAATAGCAATGTGGGTAATTGTTTTCTGCATATAGGCTCACAGTCCTAAAAGGGTTAAATCATAAGATCAACTAGACACAATTCGACTTTCTGTAACATATATAAGTTAAAGAGAAATAGGCCCTTTGTGTTGATTTTCCTGCTTATCACTCCTAACAATACTTACTTTGCAGCCTCCCATAGAGCCTTGTAGTCGATGGCTTCGCCATTCTCTGACTTATCACGTGCTTTATTTTCATCTGTCGCGGAGTTCGAGCTGGAGGTGGTGGTACTGCCTAAACGTGAACGCGAAGCGGCACGTTCACCGCCACTCTGGAAGAATAAGAAGAAGAAAAGAAACAATTTTAAAATTAAAATTTAAGTCAAAAACCGCGCTAATAGAATTGCCTAACAATTGTGATAATTAATTTAAGAATGTAATAATAGCAACAACAACTCTTAAGTGATCTTTTCTAACATACACACGCACAACGTACTTCATAACCTTCACTCTTCTCTGATGATGCGCTCAACGAACGTTGCGCTGCACTGCGTGAACGTGAACGATTACGCGACTTGCGTTCCTGTTCCCGCAAGGAATTACTACGTCCAACTAATGCCGCCATCGCCGCTACACTGCTACTATTAACAGCTGCCGCCATTGAACCACCGGATGCTGATGCGGTGCTGCCGCCGTAGGAGTTCAAATTGCTATTCGAATTTGAGATCGATTTAGTCTTCAGCAGACTTGGCGCTGAGCGTGCGCTGCTTGGCGTGCTTCTATACGATGAACTGGAGCTACCTTTGAAGGAGTTGGACTTGCCAGCGCCGCTACCCATATTCAAGCTGAGCGAAGCCGTAGTCACGCCATTGTCGTAGCTAGTGTAGGGACTCATGTAGCGATCGCTACTGTAGGGATTCGAAAGGTAACGCGATTCATAACCACTGGCCCCACCGCCTGCGCCACCACCGTTGGCTGTGGATTTCGAGGAGTTGTACAAAGAGGTTTTATTATTATTGGTATATGCGGCAATTGTGCAAGCAGAGCAATGCATGCATGCTGCCAAAGATGAGGGAATACAATGAATGCATTTGCATTTTGAACGGCCAGCTGGCGATAGCGAAGTATGCCTAGAATTTTTTTGCTGCGTATGCTTAGATGCTAGATGATGGTGATGAGAGCTGGTGGATATGGAGCAGGATGAAGGAGTGCTTTTATGGGTTGTGGATTTTGCGTATTGCTGGTGATGTGGATGTGGTTGTGAATGTGAATGGTGATGATGATTTTCAACGCTAGAGCTAACTTTTCGTGGCGTATAATTAGTGGATTTTGATGCTGATGCGGAGGACATAGCGTGAGTGGATGAGCTGATGGCAGCAGCTTTGGATGAATAAGCGGGTGCAGTAGTACTAGATGCGCACGTATATTCATAGCGGCCAATTACAATGACACCACCACCACCACCACCACCACTTCCACTGCTTTTACCATTCGAATAGTAGGAACTGCCACCACCACTACCACCACCGGCTGCGCGACTTCCGGCCGTGCTGTAGAGATTGTCACGCGAACCATAAATGCTCGCATACGGGCTCTGATAGTAGGAGGAAGACGATGCCGCCGAAGACGACGATGTGCCAGCGCCAACGCCATTCTGATAGTAGCCGGTGCTCAACGGACGCGAACTGGAGCTATATCCATTTGTGTGATTGCTATTGTAATTGCTGCCATTGTAGTTGTAGGCACTGCCGCTGCCGCCCACACCCGAAGCAGAGGTGGCACGCGAACTGGAGAGCGAACGACGATGCGAAGAGCCAGCTAGCGGCTGGGAGGCGCGTGAACGGGAACGAAAAGACATTACAGCGACCCTGCGAAGGCTTTCGAATTTTGTGTGCGCGCAGAGTTAAAAAGGTCGTTCGTTGGCTGGCGCAATAAAAATACCACAAAATGATTTTCAGCTGTTACGAGTACCTATGTACTATTTTGGAAATATTCTATAAGAACGCCGAATTATTGCGGTCTACACAAATTGGCATGAATCCACGGAACAATTTTGTTTTTTCCACAGCGCAATTAACTAGGATGCGCTCAGTTGCGAAAGAATTACGTCAAATCTTAAGAAAAAAATTTTAAATTAAACATTTTATTTTGAAATTGCATATTGCACTTTGTACAATTTGCGCACACAACGCAACGCAGCTAAACCGTAATATTTAAATTGGGCGTTTAAGAATGTAAATCTGTTTATTTTTTGCATGTTTGTTTATGCAGATTTTTAATATTGTAGCTCAAAATTTCAATAACGGCAAATGACGGCACGCGGCAATAGATGGAAATAAATGAATACAAAGTACGAGTATATAATAGTTCTAGCTAGCTAGATTTCCCTAATCTCTATTTAACCTCAAATACTCTAAAATTTTAAGTTAAATTTTAGTTACTTTTACCGTGAAGTGTTTTCTCAAAAAAATGTTAAAATGTTAAGCTCTCGCCCCTAGGACTTTTCTAAAAGGAAAAAATGCCCTATTTTTTTTTTTTTAATTTATATTTAGAACTGCCTCAAAGCCCATGAAGTTTTCCATGTATTTTATATAAAAAAAAAAAAAACAATTTATCGAGCAAATGGTATAGAATTATTGAAAATCAATAGTTTTCGATCTGAAAGCTCTGTTTCTTATAAGGAGACTTCTAATAATTATACCCAATTGTTTATTTACCAGTTTTTTAATATTAACTATTTTTTATAGGTCCACAAATAACGCTTTTGATTTTAAAATAAAAAGCAGAGGTATATTTTTCCGATATAGAACAATCCCAAGGGATGAGAGCATTTTTCGTGTTTTGTTTTTACCACCCTAATGTACATAAATACATTTGGAAGATTGTCTGCCAAGAAGCGATCGCTATTAGAAATTATTTTTCTGGGTGTTGCACTGACTTGAGGAAGCTCCAGGGCTCAACCTTGTCATACTCCGGCCTTCTAGGCATATGGCTACACCTGTCATTGATCCCGGGCCAGGGTGATTGTACGTATTATAAAGTAGAGCTATTGATAACATTTTCCTCCAAACTAGTTTTTTTTCATATACTGAATTTGAGAGTTAAGACTCAAGAATTGAGGTCTTCTTTCATCTAAGTATTGTAAAGGAACGTCGCGAACTCGTTTGCCTGAATGCCATTAGATTTGGTGACCCTAGGAAGCGAAAGCCGGGCCTAGCAAGTGCTTCATAGTGATACATAATTCGCTATGCAATTTCTTGAATTAGTTCTCCTTGTTGATATTTTCAGGATAAAGGACTTAGCCTTTCTGTTAGGTTCTGTACTTGTCCAATTTGAGCTTTTCTTCTTCATCCAAATACAGTAATTTCACCTAACGTTCCATGGCAGACCAATAAAGGTTCATCGGCTTAGGAAACCCTGTGCAGGCTTTTCTATGGCGTGAATATTTGCCAATTCATTCCCAACTGTGTTCCGGTACCCAAATGAGGTAAACCCGATTCTGAAGGCCAGACCTAACAACAGCATGCCTGAAAGGCAGAGTGAACTCACCCCATGCTAGCGAAAAGGAGCCCTCTGAGTTGTATGCCATATACTTCCGCTCTTCTTTTTGAAGACGTCAGTACATCAAATGCGGGGGTTTTATTTGCTTATTGTCCCAGTTAGTCCTATTGGGGGAAAAAGACCTCGGAATTATGTGTAAAGTTAAACCTCATATATTTTTTTTAGCTTTTTTTTGGGATCTCTCGGCAGGTCGTCCAATTTAATATGAATTAGGAGGGGTTCCAGCTTTAAGCAGCCTAGACTGAGGTTTTTTTTGGGGATTTTTTTTTTTGCTCAGGCATCTACGGCCTGAAAGTAGGTTCAGTTACGTTTGAATACTTAGACGAAATAAAAAAATGGAATTACCCTCGGTAAGGTGCTAAGTTGGAATTAATTTGAGACAAAACTCTCAGTGAAACCATCCGGGTCATGTGTGACCTGTAAAAAACGTTTTTGGTCCGACAAGGGACGTGAACTCTTAATGTCCTTTCCTTTCTCTTCCACTGCAGAAGATAATCTTTTTCGGTAGAAAAGAAAACGCCATAGAATTGCAACCATATTACGTTTCAATAAACTTCAAAGGTTGCTTTTATTTCATATTTATCTTTTCAGTCATTCGATCTGGATTGGAAAACAAACACATTCACATTTAACCTGAGAGTCAAACTCTTAACACCGATGCTTCAAAGCATTTGTCATAACAAGCGAGTTCGAAGGATTTGATTCCGACGAATGGCATCTGTCAGGTACCGGAATGGCACGAATGTGTTGCCGAAGCACAGATCTAGCCAAGAATTGTGTGATAAGATCTAGTACAGACACAGTAATTATGCATCGAGGGAATTTATTTAGAGCCAATACACTAAATCAGAATTACTGATTAACCGAAAATTAAACCTTATACCAGAATCGACTTTTAACAAAGCGAAGTAAAATTTTTTACGATGTATGGAGCTCAATCATAAAAATACTATTCCACTATGTTGTTTTTTTTTCTGACAGCAAGAAGTCTAATGGCACAGAAAATCTCTTCCTTATCGCATGCGGTAACACTATTTCTGAGCCACCATAATTAATGTCATGAACTAACATATTACGAAAAATACAATTTTGTATACTCTATTAAAACATTTCACTATTTCTATTTTAGTTTAAAGAAGAAAAATGGATGAAATAAAACCGAACAAGTAACAAAAAATAAGATTAATGACAGATAATAAATGGACAACAACTAAGCTGGCAAACGAAACAAATTTCCAAACAACCGTGAAAAAGCGTCGAGGATCACCCGGTCACAACTGACGTCAGAAAAGAGATATCCATCACAATAAAGCAAATAAATAAAATAAAACAAAACTTAAATCGCACATTTGTTGAGAAAATTGCGTTGTTGCTTCCGATTTTGAAAGACCACACACACACACACACACCCCCACCCCCACATGCATACATGCAAGAGCACAAGAGCTCACTGTGACCAGGAAACAAAAAGAAGAAATAAGCAGATAGCGCAAGTCTTAAAGAGAAAATGTTTTCTTTGAAATAATAAAAGCAGATAAGAAAGTCATTTTGCTTTATTCCATTAGCCGCAGCGGCTGGCAGCTGAATCACCCACGCAGTGTTAAGTAAATTTTTTGAAAACTAAAAATACGCAACACAGATGAGGAAGAAAATGCGCGAGGAAAAAAGTGTGTGATTGTATGAGTATAATTATACGCATGCATGCTGCTCTAAAGTTCAAGTGTTGAGCCTTAAATTTAGCCGGAAGGGTGGCTGGTATAGTCACATAGGC